TGTTTCCTCCGACCATGAGTATTGTGAAGTTTTCTTGTTTGAGTACTAGACTCTTTGATGTTTCCTAACGTCTTCCGTAACTGGGGATCATAACGGGAACACTCAGGAGACTATGTCCTCTTAGTAAGAGGAACTTACAATACAAGATTGGGATTTTCCCCCTACTACCAATAGGGAAAATGTTTTGTTTTTTACAAAGGCCGCTCGAAGAGCGAGACTGTGAAAATGCATGGCCGTGCTCAGATGGATTTTAGAAATCATTTGCTTATTGATAGTAAAACTCGGAGATCGAGAAACACTTCTGAACCTTATAGTTCGCGAAGAAACATTAAGTGACATAGGAAATGGGCTATACACTGTATGCACACTTGTCCGGAAGGACAAGTGGGAGATTGAAAGGAATGGTGTCCATCCAACAAGTGTATTCTTCTGATAGAGGGTTAAGAATTATTACAGAGCTAATTCTTCAGTAAGGTCAAGTGATCGGAATGCCTAGGTGGAGGCCGCTTCCGATCAGTAATATCAATGTATAATTGATGTTACAACTTAATCTTAACTAAACCCTTTGGGTCAAACCCAATCGAATCACTGATCCGAGACGACGAATTAATCCTAAAGGATTTAATGAGTCAGCAAAGTTTTACGAATACAGACGTCGAATATCGAGCCTAGGGCGTCGAGATCGAGCGTCGCAAAATCACAAAGCGACAAGTATAAATGTAGTCGTAGCACCACAATGGTTTAACCATGTGGATGCTAGGCTTGTTCAAGCTAGCATGCACCTAGCTTGGTTAGGCGCAAGCCTAAGCAGGCTAGGTGTGCTAGGCGCACCATCGCCGCCTAAGCGTGCACATGGCAGACTATCGCAAAGCACCACAAGCCCGAGGCATCCCATCGCAGCTAGCAGCGTGCTAGCCTTGGTGCGCATGGCAAGCTATCGCAAGCGCCAAAAGCACCAGGCAGCCCATCGCAGCTAGCAGCGTGCTAGCCTGGGTGCCTGGGTGCGCATGGCAGGCTATCGCAGCACCCTAGCACCAAGCACAACACCATCGCAGTGCTAAGCACATGCGTGTGTGCGTGTGCACCGTCGCCCCGCAGCACGGAGCTTTGTTCTTGTGTGCGTGCCTTCGCATGGCAGCACCAAGCACAGCGAGCTAGCAAGCAACACTAGCCTTACGTGTAGGCACCATCGCAGGCCACGCACCAAGCACTGCGCACCTATGTGTGTACGTGCCTCGCACCAAGCATAGCAGTGCTAGGCACTGGCTGATGCATGTGCGAGCGTTGCGTGGTGCATGGTGCGTAGCGTGCTGCGTAGGCTGATGCGAGGGAAGGGCCAGCATGCGTGGTTCGCTAGCAGCACGCATGCTGGCTGTGCTAGCAATGGCGCGCAAGGAAAGAGTGGGGGCTAGCCTGTGCGTGGGCTGCTAGGGGCTAGTGCCAGCACTACATGCTAGCAACGCCCAGCGCCAGCACCAGCCCAGCACCAGCACGCACTAACTGGCTGGCTGGGTGATAAGTGGCATTTATGCCACTATTTAAATCCTCTAATCGCGGTATTTTTCTACGTTTGTCCCTTGTTTGTACCCTTTTTGCTCTGTTTCTCTCTTTATTATGTTTTTGTGCTTTTCCTCGTGTTTTATAGGCTTTTGGAGTTGATTTTAAAAGAATGAAGAGCTTGGAGAATTGGAGTTCATTTGAAGAGCTACAAAGGAAGTTAAGGAGCAAGCAAGCACGGTCATGCGGACAGCGCAGGTCGCGCATTCAAAATGGCGCGAGCGCGCCAAACCCAGCGCGGGCGTGCCTAACATTGGGTTCGAAAATATTGAAGGAGGTAGAATGTAGGCGCGATTTGGGCGCGGCTTAGGCGCGGGCGCCCCTAAGATAGGCGCGGGCGCGCAAGGGCCTGAACTCCAAAACTGACCTTTGTTCACTCTTTTAGCCATATCGTTTCATCTACACATCAGATTGAGGTGATTCAAATTGCGTTGGAAACTAGACTTGAAGAGCTTTGCATCGATAGGTTGCACGCCCAAGAAGCATCCTACAACAGAAGTTATGGATATTTGAATTTGAATGTCGCTGCCAGGCCGAAACCCAGATTGGCGCGGGCGTGCCATTCTACTGCGGTTCTATTTTTAGCCCGATTCTCTCCTATTTTTGGGGAATTTTTTTGGGGGTTTCTTTTGGAGGGGGCTTTCTCTCTCCTCTTTAAGGGGAAAAACCCTAGTTTCTCTCCATCATCTTCACTCTTAGATTAGCTTAGATTAGGCTTAGATTTAGTTTTAATTCTTGTTTTTATCCATTGTAATGTAGTTTGGGGTATTTTAGGGAGAGAAAGTGAAGAGCTTCAATGGTGGATTGAAGAAGATGAAGATGCGAAGTGACATTGTTTTGGATTCCATTTCAATACTTCAATGAGCATTCTAAACTCTATCTCATTTATTGTTCTTTCTTAATTTCTTGCTTGACTAGAGTAGTTGTTTAGTTTAATTGCTTCTCTTTGTTCTTCGTGCTAGGTTTTGTGTTAGTTGTTCATGATTAGTGAGTAATTCCCTTTTACTAAGGGATTGGTGATAGCACGTGGTGAATCTTGAATGTATTAGGCTAGACAAATGTTGGTTATATGTGATTAAATATACCTTGTAACCATGTTTTACTAATTACTACATTTGAATGGCCAATCATGTGTTGTAATTGGGTGGATTGAACTAAGTTATGACGATAGTGTAACTTAGGGATATCCATTAGGTGATCAATTCTATGCAAAAACCTTAACTTTCATAGCTTATGACGATAGTATGAGCATGTGTTAAGTTGGGAAAGCCTTTGACCCCGATAGGTGGTTAGATGGTATTGTTGGTATTGCCTTATATGAGATATTTGGTTTGCATGTAAACTCATTTCCATTGCCTAACTTTATTGAAGACCATTGTCATGTTTGACCCTCTCCCTTGGTGTTAGTTTAACTTAATATTAATCTCATTTTGTTTATTGTTCTATCCATCCTATCTCTTTGACCTAGCTTAATTGGTGGTGGTGTTGATAGTGTTTATGTCGTCTCCGTGGTTCGAGCCTCTACTTACCACTAAACTTGTTTAGTATAGGTGTAGGTTTATAAATATTGTTTGGTTGAGGGTAGTTAGTCTAACGACCTAATTATCATTAACCAAAATGGCGTCGTTGCCGGGGAGACGGTTTCCATTGTGTGTTTATTTTCTTGTTGAGACTAGTTCTTTTCTATTCTTTTGTTTTTCCGTATCTTGTCAGTGCTCACTTTCTGCTTAGCTTTGTATATGCACAGGAGGCTTAATTGCTCTAGGCCTTTGGTGTCCATAGACCTCGAGCTAGAGCGTACTCTAGCTCAATTGAGGAGACAAGCAAGGGAGAAAGGTGAAGACCCACTTTAAGAGGAAGTGAGAAGTTCCCCTACCCCATCTTCACCCACTTCAAGTGAGGAGAGTGAACCATCCACAGGCTCAATTACCAACCCATTTTCCAATAACCATAATCAACAAAGCATGGCCGATCAAGGAAACATGGGTGATCAAAGGTCACTAAAGCAACTTGGAGCACCCGAACCATATGCCTCTCAAAGTGGGATCTTAGCCCCCACCACTTAAGCAAACAATTTCGAGATAAAGCCTTTTTTAATTTCAATGATAGAGAAGAGGCAATTTACCGATGGGAAATTTGAGAATCCCCATGAGCATCTCAAAGAGTTTCTCAAGTATTGTGACACTATCAACATCAACGAAGTCTCCCAAGAGTACATAAGATTGAAGATGTTCCCGTTCTCACTCATGGGAGCGGCGGAACATTGGTTGAACTAGGATGTTCCCCCCGGTTCTCTCACAACTTGGAATGAGGTAACTACGGCGTTCCTAGGAAGGTTTTACAATCACAAGAAAACCGCCGAGGCTCGCTCAAAGATTCAAAGTTTCCGCCAAAGAGGTGGAGAGTCTCTTTGTGAGCCATGGGAGAGATTCAAAGAGTTACAAAGGCAATGCCCACACCATGGGATTCCTAATTAGCAAGTTCTCCAAACATTCTACGGAGGACTCTCCCCTCAAAGCAAGACTAGCCTTGATGCCGGAGCCGGAGGCCCAATCATGAACAAAAGGGAAGATGAAGTAGAGAGTATCATAGAAGATGTTGTGCGCAATTATGAGGATTGGTACGAAGGTGAGAGGGAAGCCACTTCTAGCAAAGGAACGGTACAATCCGTCAAGCAAACCAATGCCATCACAAATCTTTCCAACCAAATGGAAAAGATGGCGAAACAAATGGAGGAGTTCATGAAATCAAGTTCTCAAAATACTTCCTCCCCTTCTCCCAAGGGAGACCATGGTATGAATCCTTCTACTTCTTCTCCCCCTAATTACAATGTCATGCCTCCCGGTTGTATGTTTTGTGATATATGTAGAGGCTATGATCACAATTCTCAACAATGTATGTCCATAAGTGAAGGTCCCCCTCCCCATGAAAATGATGATAATGTTGAGGATGTTAATGCCATGAATTTTGTGCCCCGTGAGGGAAATGCTGGAATGTGGCCAAATTGGAATCAAAACCTAAACCGTGGTTGGAATCAAAACCAAGGTTGGAATAAAAATCAATGGAATCAAAATTGTGGTGGTTATGATAACCAAGGCAAAGGTTGGGGAAACTCTTCCAATTACAATGGAAGAAGTTACTCAAACCAAAGGCCCAATTGGAATCAAAACTAACATCACTATTCCAACAACCAACAACGTTTTAATTCCAATCAGGGTTCCGGGGGTAATAGACCACAAAATGCTTCCACTTTCTCACAAAATAGTAGACCCCCCGGTTTTGACCAAGTAAGGCCCCATTCTCAAATTCCCCATACTCAACCCCTCCAAAAAGAAGCCCCTCCAGATCCTATGATGACTATGCTTCAAAATTTCATTAAAAATCAAGAAAACCATAATAAGAGTCAAGAGGAAGAAAAGAAACAAATCAAGGCACACATGAAAATGCTGGAGACCCAAATCTCTCAAATTGTCCAACCAAGTTCTTCATCCTCCCCTTCTTCATATTCTTCTTTACCTAGCCAAGGTGTCAACCCCAAGTCTATGTATGCCATTACTACTAGAAGTGGGAAGATCCTAGAGAGTGATTTAAATGTTGAGAAGAGTTCCGATATGAGGATAGGACTTGAGGTTGAGGATGAGTCATCAAGAGAGAGTGAGGTTCTAGAAGGAAGTTCCGAAAAGAATGAGAGGGGTGAGAAAGAGAAAGAGAAGGAACCCGAAAAGGAGAGCACCAAAGATCAAACACCTTTACCCCTTAATCTCCAACCTAGGAATGAGAGGTTGCCTTTTCCCAAAAGATTTGCTAGGTCTAGGCTTGATGTCCAATTCGGAAAATTTTTAGATGTAGTAAAGAGCTTGCATGTTTCTATACCCTTTGTGGATGCTATGAAAGAGATTCCACACCACTCTAAATTCCTAGAAGACCTCCTGAATGGAAGGAGAGAAGTCAAAACCGTTAGCTTAACCGCAAATTGTAGTATTATTCTCTCTAGTAAGCTAACAAACAAATTTCAAGATCCTGGTAGTTTTTTCCATCCCTTGTTCTATCAATGAGGTTCATTTGGGGAAGGCTTTGTGTAATCTAGGTGCTAGTGTGAGTTTAATTCCCTTCTCAGTCTACCAAAAGCTTAATGTGGGAAGTCTCACCTACAAACATCACCCTCCAACTTGCGGATAGGTCCACAAAATTGCCTATAGGGAAAGTAGAGGACATACCCCTTAGAGTTGGTAAGTTCACTTTTTCGGTGGACTTCTATGTTCTTGAGATGGATGAAGATGAAAGAATTCCTATAATCTTGGGTAGGCCATTCCTAGCTACTTCTAAAGAAATTATTGATGTCAAAGAAGGTAAGATGACCTTGAAGGTTGACAATGACTCTATCGAATTTGATTTGAATAAGGTAATGAGAAAACCTTCCTCTACTAATGAATGCTTTAGAATAGATACAATTGAAAACTTGATGAATGAGTTTAGATACCCTCATATGCATGCTTCTAATGATCTACTTGAGAATGTTTTGTTGAATGAGAATGAGGTAGGTGATCAAAAGGAGATGCAATTATATGAGGAAATGCTTGATGAGAAAGAGGAGACAACCCCCGACCAAGAGATTCTCCAAACATATGAAGTCTTCCAAGTAGAAGAGGAGGAAATCTCCAATGGTAAGGGAGCTCCGAAGGTAGAATTGAAACCTCTACCATCGGGCTTGAGGTATGTCTTTTTGGATGCTAATGATACTTTTCCGGTCATCGTCAATGCTAACCTCACGGAAGAGCAAACCTCCTCATTGCTTAATGTTTTGAAAAAGCATAGGAAGGCTTTGGGTTATACTCTTGATGATCTCAAGGGTATAAGCCCCTCCCTATGCATGCATAAAATCGATTTAGAGGAGGGTGCTAGGCCGTGTAGGCAACAGCAAAGGAAACTTAATCTTCCCATGGAAGAGGTCGTGAGGAAGGAAGTTTCCAAGCTACTTGAAGCAGGGATCATCTATCCAATCGCTCATAGTGATTGGGTGTCCCCGGTTCAAGTAGTGCCAAAAAAGGGAGGTATGACGGTAATGGTCAATGATAAGCAACAATTGGTCCCAACTCAGCTTGTTACGGGTTGGCGTATGTGTATAGATTACCGCCATTTGAATGCCAATACTTCCAAAGACCATTTTCCAATATCGTTTATCGACCAAATGCTTGAGAGACTTACAAAGCATGCCTTTTATTGCTTTCTTGATGGTTATTCGGGATTCTTCCAAATCCCAATTGACCAAAAAGATTAAGAAAAGACCACTTTCACTTGTCCCTATGGTACTTTTGCTTACCGTAGGATGCCTTTTTGTCTTTGTAATGCCTTGGCTACCTTCCAAAGATGCATGATGTCAATTTTTAGTGAAATGATTGAGGAAGAAATGGAAAATTTTATGGATGACTTTTCCGTTGGTGGAGGCACATATGAGAAGTGCCTAATGAATTTATCTCGTTGTTTAGATAGGTGTGAGAGTGCCAACTTGGTGCTCAATTGGGAGAAATGCCACTTTATGGTGGAAAATGGCATTGTTCTTGGCCATAAAATCTCCCAAGCGGGCATCGAAGTTGATGGTGCGAAGGTTGATGTGATTGAGAAGCTTCCTCCTCCCACAAATGTGAGAGAAGTGAGGTCTTTCCTTGGTCATGCCGGCTTTTACCGCCGCTTTATCAAAGATTTCTCTTTGATTTCTAAGCCTCTCACATCTCTCTTGCAACAGGATAAAGAATTTGTATTTGATGAAGCTTTTCATGAGTCATTTTGTAGGTTGAAAAAGGCTCTTTGTACCGCCCCATAGTCCAAGGACCGGATTGGTCTTTACCATTCGAGCTAATGTGTGATGCAAGCGACGAAGCCATTGGATCGGTGCTAGGACAAAGAAAGGATGGGAAACTTCACGTTATATACTATTTGTCCAAGACTCTCAATGATGCTTAACGAAATTATACAACTACAGAAAAAGAGTTTTTGGTAGTTATTCACTCATTTAAGAAGTTTAGAACCTACCTCATTGGTTCTAGGACAATCGTGTATACCGATCACTTGGCTCTCAAATATTTGATAAGCAAGAAGGAGGTCAAATCAAGGTTGTTGAGATGGATCTTGGTCCTTCAAGACTTTGATTACGAAATGAAAGATAAGAAGGGAGCCGAGAACGTGGTGGCGGACCACCTTTCTAGGTTGGGAGGTGCAAGAATACATGAAGACGGTTTGCCAATTGAAGATGCCCTAATGGATGATGTCTTATACACTCTTGGGCAAAATCGGAGCCTTGGTATGCAGATATTGTGAACTACTTGGCTTGTAGTGCCATACCTCCGGATTTCACTCCTTAACAACATCGAAGGCTCAAGCATGAAGCAAAGAAGTATATATGGGATGACCCCATGTTGTTAAAGAGAGGGGTGGATGGACTTTTGAGATGATGTGTTCCTAATGAAGAGTTCCAAGATGTGCTCTCAATGTGCCACTCATCCCCTTGTGGTGGGCATATGAGTGCTCAAAAGACCGCTTCCAAGGTTTTACAATGCATGCTCTTTTGGCCCTCTCTATTCAAAGATGCTTGGCAATTTGTTAAGACTTGTGATATGTGCCAAAGGACGGGGAACATATCAAGGCGTGATGAGATGCCCCAAAATCTGATTCTTGAACTAGAAATTTTTGATGTTTGGGCAATTGACTTCATGGGCCCTTTCATCTCATCTCAAGGAAACCGACACATTCTAGTTGCTGTTGATTATGTCTCCAAGTGGGCGGAAGCCGTGGCATCTCCCACCAACGACTCAAAGGTGGTCATCAATTTGTTCAAGAAAGTCATCTTCCCAAGATTTGGTGTTCCTAAGGCAATCATAAGTGATGGAGGCTCACACTTCAAGCACCATACATTCAACAAGCTTCTTTCAAAGTATGGTGTATCGCACAAGCGAGGCCTTGCTTACCACCCCCAAACAAGTAGTCAAGCGGAGGTCACAAATAGGGAGTTGAAAGTCATCTTGGAGAAGACCGTTGCTAGAACAAGGAAGGATTGGTCTAGTAAGCTCATTGATTCATTGTGGGCATATAGGACCGCCTTCAAGACTCCTATAGGGACTACCCCCTATAAGCTTGTTTATGGGAAGAATTGCCATTTACCCGTAAAGATGGAGCACCGAACGCATTGGGAAATCAAGCAAATCAACTTTGATCTCCACAGTGCGGGTTAGCAAAGGCTTCTAGAGCTTCATGAGTTGGAAGAGTTGAGAATGAACGCATATGACAGTGCAAGCCTCTACAAAGCAAGAACCAAGACATGACACGACGCTCAAATTTCCAAGAAGGAATTTGTGGAAGGACAGAAGGTCCTACTCTACAATTCAAGACTCAAGCTCTTCCCCGGGAAATTGAGGTCTAGATGGAGCGGTCCATTTCAAGTATCCAAAGCCTTTCCTTATGGCTCGGTTGAGATATTCAATGAAAATTACCCTCCATTCAAAGTGAATGGGCACCGTCTCAAGCCATACTATGAGGGTCAACTAATTGAAAATCCAGAAAATTTATCTCTTCATTCCGTGTGAAGTACGTCAAGCTAGTGACGTTAAAGAAGCGCTTACGGGAGGCAACCCGGTTTCTAACGTGTTTGATTTTATTTTCTTTCAAATCGCTTGAACTAATCCATCTAACACTTTTCCCAATCAATTTTGATGTAGGTGTGATTGCGTGTGTCCACGAGGAAAGAGAGACAAGAGTAAAGCAAAAATGAGGAATTTTGAGAAATTGTGCTCGAATGAATACTAAAGAGACAGAACCTCAGCGCGATTTTGTCGCGGCTGAAGCGCGATCCGCAAGAGCAGTAAGGCGCGGGCGCGTCTAGTTTCGTCGCAGGCGCGTATATGAATGTAAATTGCACCCATTCCAGAAAGTAGGAGCGATTTAGGAGCGGCTCGCGTCTTAAAGTGGGCGCGGTCAGACCTGTTTTAGAAGCGGGCGCGCCAGCTCTTTGGTCTTAATACTCACCCAATTCCAGAGAATAGGAGCGATTTTGTGCGATTTGTGAGCGGCTCGCGATACCAAAGTGGCGCGTGCGCGCCTATTCAGAGCGTGGGCGCGATAATAGCTTGGTCTGATTTCCAGGGAGTTGGAGCGATTTTATCGCGATTTAGGAGCGGGCCGCGTTTTCACTGAGGCGCGGGCGCGCCTACATCAGGCGCGGGCGCGCCTTTCTTGGTATCAAAAAAAAAAAAATACGGTTTCGTCTTTTGTTTTCGCAATTTCCCTTAAACCCTCATAAACATAACTCAAACCCCCTCATTGCCTTTCTCTCCCTTCGCGGCCGCTCCTCACCACCATACTCAGGATCATCTTCTTCCATCCTCTTAAATCAATCATTCTTATAAATCAATCATCCTCAAGCTTCAATCATTCATCTTCTCCGTTTGTTCATCATCAAAGAAAGAAATTAGTCATCCTCAACACCAACCGCAACGAACTCCTTACTACTCAAAACCCTCACCAAATCGACACAAAAACAGCAATTTTTCGCATAAGGGTAAAGGTATTCAATTTCCTTCGTTAAGTATTCTCTTTTGATTGATTTTTAAGCAAGGATTTTGATTATCTTAGGTTATTAGCGAAATTTGGTTGATTATTGTTGAAATTACTGCTAGATTCTGTTGAAATTGTTGTTGTTGGTTATTACCTTGAGTATATCTCTCTACCTTGCTTTTGTACGCTTATTTTGATGAGTAGGAGATATACTCTTGGTAGGGAGTGACTTGGCTGGGATTCTTACTTGCTCGCCTACCGCTCTTTCATTGTTTTCCTTGTACCTTCATGCTACTGATTCTGCTGAGTTGCATGACTGTTTTCTTTGGTTGATTTTGCCCCTGTTCAATAATATTGTTGATGAGTTTTTGATGTGGGTTTGATGATGATGCTGTTTTGGGGACGCTTCTCTCGGTTTGATGGATACCGGTGAGTCCGCCCCCCGTTTTTCCTGTCAATGATGATGATTACTGGTATTCGCCGACATGGCGATTGACCAGTGCAGGTATGT